TTCAAGCTTGACTTTTAGAAAATAAATGTTTTACTTCAGTCATTCATAATAAAAGCTGCAAGACAAAGGATCTTTAATCATGTAACCATGTGGTCTGGCCAACTAGTTCAGTGGATTAAAGCACCTGCAAGCAGGCTCAGGGGTTGGGGGCTTGATCCTAGGCCTGCTCTGCCAGCCCCGCCCCTGGGGCATGTTGAGATGGCCATTGAGACTGGGCGTGGAGTGCGCCTATAATCCTGGCTCTTGGGAGGCTGTAAACAGGCAGATCACTACAAGTCCGATCACTACACTGAGACCCTGAACACCCTGTAGACCCTTCTCTAAAATACAAAAAATAAATAAATAAATAAATATCTGTAACCATGCTGTATTTCTTTTCACTTGCTTTTTTTCTGTATATCTATGGCTTGCTATCTCCTTCCAGCCCATGAAGCGTGCAAGTAGAAAATCACACATTTCTTTTATAACTCTTCTTTCTTCACCATCAGTTTTATTATGTAAATGCTATTAGCACACATTTATATTTTTGCCTATTTAATAATTGTATTATTTATTATTGCTATAATCAAATTTTCCCCAATTTTCTTTCATGTTATGAGAATTTTATTATGAACAAGATAATAAATTATGAGGAAAATAATAACTTAAGAGGGATAATTATTTTTACATCCATTGGCTATGATCATTAGTTTTTATTTACATTCTCTTGTGTATTAATCTACCAAAACTTTTTAAAATATGGTTCACTGTTGTAATCCTCATCACTGCACATCTTCCCAGATCCTAACAGTGCAATGAACTGGACAAGAGACTAAATAATCCACAGTGGACCAGAAGAAATTAGGACGTCATTAGCTTTCTGTGGCATTGGGCGAACCACTTAATTTCCATAATCCTCATTTATCATGTTCTCCATGTGGAAAGTAAGGCAACTGGAAAGAGGATCTAGGATCCCTCCGTCCTAACTGCATGTTAGACTCAGCTGTGGGGATTTTAAAAATATTTCTGCCTAGCAACGACCCCTAAGAGATTCTGGCTTTCTTTGTCTATGCGAGGAGCCTATCGATATTGTCAAACAAGTTTTCAACCATCTCATGTATTTCTCATCAGCATCGTACGTGAGAAATAATGATTTAGATATTAAGTTCTTTCTTAATGTTTGTCAGTCATAGGTCTAATTTGACTTGTTTAGATTAATGTTTTTGTCCCCAGACCCCCATAAAATTTAGGTCAGTGGATCAAAGCACCTACTTAGGCAGATGCAGGAACCAGTGTTCTATTCCTGGCATGCTGTGCACCCCCCTGCACCCCTCTGGGTGCTGAGACTGTGACAGAGGCTGGGTGTGGTGACACGTGCCCGTAATCCCAGCGCTTGGGAAGCTAAAAGCAGGAGGATCACTATGAGTTTGATCTGTGTAGTGAGACCCTGTAGACCCTGCACTAAATACATTAAAAAAAAATAGGTATTTTCACATTCCTAAAGTTTTTAATGTCAGGGACTTGTTGTCATCATAACAATGTCTGGCACACATTTGGTACTGTATGAGGTATCATTATGATGACAGGGAAAATTATTTACTTTCACAAACATTGTACCAGCAGACACTTAGTATAGAAGTGTATTCGGTACAACCCCTGTTTAAAGAGCATTTTAGTCTTGCATCAAAGTAGTTTAAGAATATTGCTCTGAAGACTGCATTTATTAATCCAGAAGCCCTGGAAGGGGTACCAAACCCCCCTTTTGCACATCAGAAATTCAAGATAAAGATACTTAATTACATCTCTAAGATCTCGAGCTAGTAAGTGGCAGAAGTAGAATTTTGTCCTAGGCTATATATGCTGAATTCTGCTTTCTTGAGCAATAAATTTAGCTAATAATTGTCCCCAATTTTAGGTTTATTTTCTGGCAAGTAGTAGTTAAAATATGTTTGAACTTAATTGTATTAAGTGATTTCAATCCACATCTTCTGTAGCATTTTCTCAAAAGTTACAGCTCATCTCCTAAGTTTTCCTCTGAATTCCTCAATCTCCATCATCTAGCTGCGTCAATCTCCAAATAGAAATTCTTCGACTCCTCTGGTAATTGCAAATTTTTATTATCTGCTAATTTCAGAATTTGACTGCTATAGTCATAAATAAGGTCGATTTTGACATCTTATTTTGGCTGAAAATATTTCTACTACTTATTTATTTATTTTTGACACAGGGTCTTGCTATGCAGTTCAGACTCAGAGAGATCTTCCTGTCTCAGCCTCTCCAGCGCTGGGATGGCAGGTGTGGGCCACCACACTCAGTTTCAGGCCGGCAGGGCACGCAGTACCAGGAATCCAACTCAGATCCTTGCAATTGCCCTGCAGGTGCTCATGCCACCGAGCTATCTCCCCAGGATGGACTTTTATGAAGTCATCCTCCAATCAGGTTAAAATACATCTAGAAGAGTAATCAAAATGAATTTCTCTAAAGAGGATGAGCAGGAAATTATAAAGAATGTTTTCATTTAAAAAAATCTAAGCTTATTTTATCAGTAAGTTTTATTTAAATATTAATCTGTTAAATTGATTCTTGAGAATCACACTTGTAAAATTTTCTTTACCTCTCACAAGTATAATATCTGTGCAATTTAGTAGCCTCATCAAGATTTGGAAATTTTTAATAAATCTTTTCAGTTTTTCCCATTTTTAGTGCTAGAAAATTGAAAATTTCCTTTGGAATGAAGTTAAAAATGTCTGGGCACACTGTTAACTAATTTATGGAATATAGAATATAGACAGCTTTGTAAGCAAAA